TGCCACTAAAACACATTTATCAAAAACACAAAATAACGATAAAATCACTCAATTATTCAGTGACAATCTTAAGGGTAATTATATAATTTATGATAATATAACGATACATTTTTTCTAAAATAACTAAAATTTAATTAATTTCATTGCCAAAGTTCAAATTAAACATATTTTTCTATAATAAGGCCAATACAGAGATTAAATTAAAGAAGAATTTTTATTCGTGAGGCCATCGCAATAGATTGTTTAATTCTTATTGCTAATTAATTATAACACTCAAAATGAAATATCGATTCATGTACTTGTAATGTTAATATCAATTTTAATGGGTTAATCGTCTCTGTAAATTTTTAACATTTCGTATTCTCAATACGGGCGTAATTTCATTAATTGGAGATTCACCAAAAGATTTACTCCATAATGTATGAAATTTTAAGGGAAACATTTCCATACTTGAGCAATAAGTGAAATGAATAAATAAAACTTTATCATAATCAATTCCTGTAGGCTCCTTATATGGTGAATCTAACACGTTTTGACGATATTTATTATAATTATTAATAGTTAATGGCTGATCAATATTAAATTTTAATAAAACATTATTAAATTGTTGTTCAATAATCTTATTGGGATATTTATTAAGTAATGAGGCCATTCGTAAATTTTCACGTTCACTCAAATATGTTTGAAATGTAGAACAATACCTAATAGTTCGTAAGAGCATTATAAAAGGTATATTCTTTTTCATATGTAATGGAGGAATACTATTAGATGGCAAATAATAAGGCTCATAGGATGGTTTTTGATATACTGCAGTAAACAGTGTGCCATCTCGATTTTCTGTATATAAATGAAGAAAATTTGTAAATGAGCCAATATTAGCTTTTAGCTTGATATTTTCATCAAAATTGTTCAATCTCTCGATTTGTTTTAACAAATGCCTGACAGGCCAATTAATTACTATAAATAAATCATCAATATATCGAAAATATGGTCCACCACCGTTTTTAATTTGTTTGGCAATTGCTCGTTCAAAGAAAAACATATAACAATTAGCCATTGTTAAAATTAATGGG